GCAGGCGCCGAAAATTTTGGGTGGGTCGCGGGGTGGGTCGCGGGTGGGTCGCGGGTAGGTCGCGGTGGGTCGCGGGTGGGTCGCGGGTGGGTCGCGGGTGGGTCGCGGGGTGGGTCGCGGGTGGGTCGCGGATTGGTCGCCGGTGGGTCGCGGGTGGGCCGCGGGGGGTGTCTCGGGGTGGGTGGCGGGCGGGTCGCGGGGTGGGTCGCGGGTGGGTCGCGGGTGGATCGCGGGTGAGTCGCGGGGTGGGTCGCGGGTGGGTCGCGGGTGGGTCGCGGGGTGGGTCGCTGGTGGGTCGCGGGGCGGGTCGCGGGTGAGACGACGACAACAGCAAACAACAAGCAACAAACAACACACAACAAACAACAAACAACGAACAACAAACAACACACAACAAACGACAAACAACAACAAACAACAAACAACAACCAACACACAGCAAACCACAACAGCAACAGCAACAACAACACTAACAACACCAACAATAATAACAACAACATCATCAACATCATCAACGACAACACCAACAACAACAACACACAACAACAACAGCAACAACAACATCAACTACAACAATAATAACCCGCATCGCGGAATTTCACTTCAGCCACGCACCGCACCCAGGGACAGTGAATGACCGTTCGGTTCAGCCCCTCACTCTATATATTTGTATATATACACATGTACACAAACATAGGTTATTCATGCAATCGTTCATTCACTCATTCATTCAGACATACATACACACATCTATCTATATATGTATATCATGCGACAGCCGAGAACAGGCCTGGGACCAACACAAAGGCCCGAAACGGAGTGCCTGACGGGTGTTTAGCCGGGAGCGGCACGGGCCGGCGCCGCCGCCGTGCCGAGGGCTCGAGCAGTCCAGGCATCCGACGGTGAGATCGTTCGACCATGCGCGGCCCTACCAGTGAGCTACAGTTGGGTCCCCCTTGGATATTCTAAGACTCTGAAAGACTAAATTTGGCGTGCGTGCGTAAGGCGGGCGTGTGGGGCCGCTGGGCGTGCGTAAGATATGTACGGTTGCAACCTATATACGAATGCTTTGGGCATGCCCAAACGAGTGTAGACTGGTCGTTTTGGGTATGGTCGTTTTGGGCATGCCCAAACAAGTCGAGAGTGGCTACGCTTTTGTAGGATTGTGTCGTTCCCACCGTACTTAGGGACCACATCCCAGAAATCATTTCGAGCATCTCGAACACATCGAAACAATGTCTGCCCGACACGCTGGCAACGTGCCGAACGAGTATCGCCTCCCAGGGTCCGCCTGGTGAAATAAGTCCAGTTTCGATATTTTCTTGGTGCTCGAAATTCTTGCCGGCGGTTAAGGCTCAAGTAGGTTGGAGCATCATTGTTGCAGGAATCGGAAGGGTCCCATAGCTCTGTACCGTGCGAGCCTTTGTAGAAACACGCCTGCACTCCCTGAGTAAGGTGACTTGAACAATAAGAAACAACCTCTAGAGCCAACGGCACAAATGAACGGCCCACGATTGCCAGGGCCACGTCCCTCGACATCACGCGAGTCACAGCAGGCAGCAAATACTGAAACACCGCTGCTCCGCAGCCGCCGCAGCCGCGGGGGAAGAATCATCGATCTTTCGCCGCCGGGGGCGCTGTCCCCCGTCCCTGAAAAAGGACGGGGTGGCCACGGGCACGAATTATTGGGGGGCGATAAATGGGATGGGGGGAAGAAAGGTGCCTTTCTCGGGCCTTCAAGGTCCCCTTGGGGGCTCTTAAGGGCCTCGTTCGGGGCCCTAACGGGCTCCTTTTCGGCAGCACCACCCCCACCCATCGCCCTCCTATGTGTCGCGCCACGAGGGCCCCCCCCTTATCTAATTCCGGGGCTATCATAGCTGGAAGCGACACCGGCGCCGACCCTCAGAAAAACAACGGGGGGGGCATTCCAGTCGGCTTGGGGGTTTGCTGCGGAGCCGGGGCTGCGCGGCCCACCATGGGGGCAACTTCAGTCTTCGGCCCAGATCCGCTCTTGCTGGTGGCCCGATGGCGGACACCAAGAGGCCGAGATCGAGGAACAAGAGTCAGAGCCCCGAATCATCAGGGGTAACTCGGGTCAGGGTTAACTCGGCTTCGTTTTTCGGGAATCCGAACCCGAGTTACCCCGGACCCGACTTACCCCGGATAGTTCGGGCGTCCAGAGCCCCGAATCATCAGGGGTAACTCGGGTCAGGGCTAACTCGGGTTCGTTTTTCGGGAATCCGAACCCGAGTTACCCCGGACCCGACTTACCCCGGATAGTTCGGGCGTCCAGAGCCCCGAATCATCAGGGGTAACTCGGGTCAGGGCTAACTCGGGTTCCTTTTTCGGGAATCCAAACCCGAGTTGCCCCGGACCCGAGTTACCCCGGATAACTCGGGCGCCCAAAAGAGAGCTCGTGATGGAAAGGAACCGCCTCGTCAGAGATCTGGGGCCTTTTTGGTCTTCGGCTTTCAGAGCGTAGCTCGGGCCTCTGGCGGCCGTTCGCGACGATTCGGGCAACCCTGGAACGCCCTCGGCGATGCGCAGCTGCGGGAAGGCATCTCGCGGCGAGAAAACCTCCCATGGGGGCCTCGTTCCCAGGGGTGCAGGATGACTAGGGGGATCTCGGAAAACGGGGGATCCTGAGACCCGACTTCGCGAACACATTGCAACATCGTGAAAAATCACAGCTGGAGCCCTAGACCCCACCGTTCTGCGGCATTTGTTCGATCTGTGAGGGTTCCCAGGGCCCGAGCGTGGGAGAGAACGCCACGCCTGGCTCTCAGGGAGGGCCGCTGGGGCCGAGGGGGAGGGGGAGGAGGAAAACGCAGGACGCTGCATAGAACGTCGACGCATCCGAAAACGCGATGGCGACTATCTAAAATGAAAACCACCAGCCCCCCAGGCCAGAAGCATTCGACCGATTTGTTTCCCGGCGACGACCTACTGGCAACGAAACGTGCCGTGCCGAGCTCTCTGCCACGAGGGGGGCCAGTATTCGGGGGACAAGATCCCCAAAAAACAAAAGCGGCGCCCCAGCCAACCAGCCATAGGCGAGCCGTCGCGCGCATCCATGGCCTGGAACAGCGGGGCGAAGTACAGATTCGCAGGCCGCGGAGGTCATCGCCCGACTGCCTGTCAGTCTGGGCGCCCGCATGACCACTGCAGTGCCAACGCAGAGAAATAGGTCACGCGGGGGGAAGGAGGAGAGGGGTAAGAGAGGCGAAAAAAGACGTGCAAATCGCACCGCCCCCTTCATTGCGACCAGCGGGACAGTATCAACTAGTCAGTGCTATACAGGACGCCAGGCTAACCAAGGAGATCCGCAGAAATTGATGGACAAGTGGATGACCCTGTGGTGGAAGTACTTGTAGAGGTAGCCGTCTCCGAAGGCTGGATGCAGATGGGCGCTTGGAGACGGGTACACAAGCACCGGCACTGCCAATGGCCCGTCTGCGCAAACGGCCGCTCCGGAACGTGCCTCGGGAGCTGTAGTCGGAGTTGGCAGGCAGTGGAGTCGTACTGTGGAGTCGGACTATGGAGTCGGTGTAGTCGGACTATGGAGTCGGACTGCTGAGCTGGCGTCAGTGCTGACTGCGGTACTGGCGTTGGAACTGGCGTCGGTGCTGGACTCGGGACTGGCGGAATCGCTGGCGTGAGCACCGTCGCATGTGCAGGCGTCGGTGCAGAAAATGCTCATCGGAGGGGGAGGCCATCGATAGGGGGAAGGGGAGGAGGAGGAGGAGGAGGAGGAGGAGGAGGAGGAGGAGGAGGAGGAGGAGGAGGAGGAGGAGGAGGAGGAGGAGGAGGAGGAGGTGGTGGAGAGAGGGGGAGGAACGTGGGAGAGGAGGAGGAGGAGGAGGGATGGAGGAGGAGGAGGAGGAGGAGAAGGAGGAGGACGAGGAGGAGGACGAGGAGGAGGACGAGGAGGAGCGAAGAGGAGCGTGATAATGAGGAGGATCATATGAGGAAAAGGAGGAGGAGGAGGAGGAGGAGGAGGACGAGAAGGAGCGAGAGCGAGGTGGACCAGGAGGAGCGAGGAGCGAGGAGGGCCGAGCAGGGGGATCGAGGAGTGAGCCCGCCGCGGGGCTCCGGCCGAGCGGCCCACGGTGAGCGTGCGCGCCAGTCGCAGGTCCAGCGTCCGCTTCTTCAGCGGCGCCCGCGCGGCCGCGCGGCTCTGGCGCGGGCAGGGCGAAGGGGAGGTCACCGCTACAGTCGAGCTTGACTGTAGAGGGCACGCGGGAGGACACGCGACTCGGCGGCGAGCGACGGGGGGGGGAAACGAGAAGGAGAAAGCCTTCCCCGAAGGTTCGGAAGCCCCCTGGCCCTCTGGGAAGTTTCCTGAGCCTTCCCCGAAGACACAGAAAACTGCCCACAAGGCGCGAGGGCTTCTGAGCAGTCCCTCCGCCTTCCGAGAAGGCCTTCTCATTATCACTTCCCCCCTCGCTCGCCGCTGGAAGACTCTTCCGAGGCCAGCATGGGTCCTAAACCAATGGCACCTCTGCCTCAGGGGTGCAGCAGGCATGGGACACCGTACGCAGGACACGAGGGTACACGCTTAATCCCACCAGCCCGCGGGGCGTCGGTGGTTTAGGGCGTTTCCTCTTCCACTCCTCCTTCTTCCCCTTCGGGGAAGGGTTATCACTACTCCCTATTAGTATACACCCCCTCCCCCAGGCGACTGGGAGCCAACCCAAGTCCATGAGGACCCCCCCACCATCCTTTGTACAAAAACAATACACAACACAATCTGCCCCCACCATCCTTTATAAACACCAATACAAAGCACACTCTGTGTCCAAATTCGGAGCATGCGCAACGAACCCGATGCGGCCGCCCCCCACCATCCCTGTCAACAAAACCAAAACAAAATACACTTGGCGGCGGTGGCGGCGGCTGCGGCGGCTGCGGCGGGGGCAGCGGCTGCGGCGGCTGCGGCGTGGCGGCGGCGGGGGCGGCAGCGACTGCGGCGGCAGCGGCTGCGGCGGCGGCGATTTGGCAGCGGGGGCGGCGGCGGCGGCGGCGGGCACCGCCGCGACGGCCGCAGCGGCGGACAGCGGCGGCGGCGGCGGTGGCGCGGCGGCGGCGGCGGCGGGCGGCGGCGACGGTGGCGGAGGCGGCGGCGGCGGATTGGCCCCCCAGTAGCTGGCCATCCAAATACGACTGCTGCATCAGCTGCGGCTCGGGCCAGGCTCGGGTGCTACGTATGTGTTGGGAGGGCGGGTGGGAGTGAGCGAGACGGCTTGCGGGCGGGGAGGGCGTCTTGATCACTGTTCCCTATTAGTAATCACCCCCTCCCCCAGGCGACTGGGAGCCAACCCAGGTCCATGCGGGCACCACCCCACTATCTTTTGGAACAAAATTATGCAAAACACAATCTGCCCCACCATCCTTTTGTTAAACAACCATACAAGGCACACTCTGTGTCCAAATTCGGAGCATGCGCAGCGAACCCGATGCGGCCGCCCCCCACCATCCCTGTCAACCCCAAAAAACGCCACCCCGACCCCCCCAACATAGTACACTTGGCGCGGACGGCGGCTGCGGCGGCTGCGTGGCCGGGGGCAGCGGCTGCGGCGGTTGCGGCGGTGGCGGCGGCGGGTTCGGGGGGCGGCGGCGGGGGCGCGGGGCGGCGGCGGCACCGTGGCGGCGCGGGCGGCAACGGTGGCGGCAGCGACTGCGGCGGCAGCGGCTGCGCGGCGGCGATTTGGCGCGGGGCGGCGGCGGCGCGGGCAAGCGCGGCGCGGCGGCAGCGGCGGACAGCGGCGGCGCGGCGGGCGGCGGCGGCGCAATCGCGTGTGGCGGCGGCGGCGGATGGGCCCCATTACTTGTCCATCCAAATACGACTGCTGCACATGGTACGGTTCGGGCCGGGCTCGGGTGCTACGTATGTGTTGGGAGGGCGGGTGGGAGTGACCGAGACGGCTTTGCGGGCGGGGGGGGCGTTTTGATCACAACTCCCTATTAGTATGCACCCCTTCCCCCAGGCGACCGGTAGCCAACCCAGGTCCATGCGGGCCCCTCTCACCATCCCTTGTAACAAAGCAGTACACAACACACTCTGCCCGCATCCTCCCTTGTACAAGACACAATACAAAACACACTCCGTGTCCAAATTCGGAGCATGCGCAGCGAACCCGATGCGGCCTTTCCCCACCATCCCGGGCAAAAAAAACAAAGTACACTTGGCGGCGGCGGCGGCGGCGGCCCGCTCTGAGGCGGCTTTGGGGGGCCGGTGCGGCGGGAGGGGCCGGGGGGGGGGCAAGCGGCTGCGGCTGGCTGCGGCGGTGGCGGCGGCGGAGGGCGCGGCGGCGGGGGCGCGGCGGCGGCAGCGGCGGCGGCGGTGGGCGGCGGCGGGCGGGGCGGTTGGGTGGCGCGCGGCGGCGGCCGTGGCGGCGGCGAGCGGCAGCGCGCGGGGCGGCAGCGGCTGCGCGGCGGCTGGCTGCGGCGATTTGGCAGAGGGCCAGCGGCGCGGCGGCGGCGGCAGGGCGGCGCGGTGGCGGCGGCGGCGGGCGTTCGGCGGGCGCGGCGGCAGGGCAGCGGGCGGCGGCCGGGCGGCCAAGCGCGGGGGGGGGGTGTGGCGCGGCGCGCGGCGGCGGAGGCGGGAGAGCGGCGGCGGAGGCGGCGGCGGCGGCGGCGGCGGCGGATTCGCCCCCAGCAGCTGGCCATCCAAAGACGACTGCTGCATACGCTGCAGTTCGGGCCAGGCTCAGGTGCTACGTATATGTTGGGAGGGCGGGTGGGAGTGAGCGAGACGGCTTGCGGGCGGGGAGGGGGGGAGGGAGACTCTTGACCCCTCCCCCTCCCCCCTTCCCTGGACCTGGAGGGGGGGGTCGCGAGTCGTCGGAGCGTCCAAAACGGCCTCGGCGAGGAAGTCAAAATCATCCTGCAGGGGGGGGGCGCCCCCTCCCCGAGGAAGCACAGGTTCCGCTAGGAGGTGGGCTCGAGGAGACTCCAGAGCCTTCCAAAGCGACCCCAGGCGTCCCAACACCTCCTCGAGCTTTGACCCTGGAACCCCTCGACGCCTGGAAGGGGCCACCAACCTGGACTCTGCGACACATCGCTGGTAGAGCGGCGACGGGCCCTCGATAGACAGTCCGCAGGTTCCTGGGCGGGGTGGGGCCATCAAGCACCACGCCCTTGTCGGCGATCGGTGGGCGACTGGGGGTCGATGCGTTACACCCCCCCCCCGAGCCCGTCCTCCCCCCAGACATGATCGCGTCGAACAAAAATCAGGGCGGGAGGTTTTTTGGCCAACTTCGGCCTCGGGGGGCCCTCGCCGGGCCTCGGGACCGTCCAGGAACGATTCAGCATGAAACACCGGTCCTGGGGAAAGGGTCGGGACTTCCAGGGGCCCCGCACGGAGAACATCGGGACGTCGCACGTCTGGGCCCTCTACCGCTGCCCCCGGTCCTGCCGGTGACCCCCCTTGGCGCCGCCCGGCTGGGCTACCCAGCCCTCCAGGCCGGGGGAGAGGCCGCAGCCCCCGCCGCCGAGCACCTCGGGGCCGGCGCCGGCGGCCCTCGGCCGTCCCGTCCCTCCCCGGAAGTCTGCTCCCGCCTCGGGGCCGAAGCGGGCGGCCGGCAACGCAGGGGCTACATATAAACCCAGGCCCCCTCGAGTCATGCGGCGGATGCTGGGAACCCTGGGCCCAAGAACGGTTTCATCTCTTGGGGGCGCATCTTTTGCTCCCGCCGCCTTCCGCCAGCCTTCCGCCGGCCTCCGCCAGCCGCCCTTCCGCCGCCTCCCGCCGAGGAAGAGGTGGCAACTGCTTCCATCATCGAAGGCAAGGCCCTTTCTGGAACGCCTCATGTGAACAAATCACGACGCAAGGTCTTCAGCTATCTGCAGCCTTCGGGGGCCCTTACAAGCCGGGCCTTGGGAACATCAGAAATATGCTCAGGATGGAAAATCGGTCCCAGGGAAGGGATCGAGACCTCTGGGTGTCGACGCTTGTGAGAAAATCGTGGCGTGGGGGGTCTGGGAACGTAAGGGTCACTTATCGAGGACTGCAGGAAAGAAGGCCCAAACGGGCCCTGAAGGGCGCCGAAATGGGCCCCTGGGGGCCCCCACAGGGGCCCTCCAAAGACGTGCAGACATGCTCGCGGCGTAACAAAAATCAGGACGGGAGGTTTTTGGCCAATCTCGGCCTCGGGGGGGCCCTCGCCAGGCCTCGGGAGCATCAAAACACGACTCAGGACGAAAACCTGGTCCTGGAGAAAGGGTCGGGCCTTCCAGGGACCCCGAATGGGAACAATCAGGACGTCGCATGTCTGGCCTCCTTTCGACACCCCGCGTTGACTGGCCCCGCGTTACCGGCCGCCCGGCCCAGACCTCCGACGAGATGACTTTTTCAATCCTGGCGTTGGTTCTCGATTTCGGCCCCTGGGGCCTGTATATGACTATTTTACCGTGCCCGGGCGCGTGCCCGGGTGCCCGGCCGGGTGCGTGCCCGGGCGCGTGTCTGGGTGCCCGGGTGCCCGGGTGCCCGGGTGTCCGGGCGTCCCGGCGTCGGGGTGTCCGGGTGTCCGGGCGTCCGGGTGTCCGGGTGTCCGGGTGTCCGGGTGTCCGGGCGTCGGGGTGCCCGGCTGTCCGGGTGTCCGGGGGTGCCCGGCTGTCCGGGTGTCCGGGTGTCCGGGTGTCCGGGTGCCCGGGTGTCCGGGTGCCCGGGTGTCCGGGTGTCCGGGGTGTCCGGGTGTCCGGGTGTCCGGGTGTCCGGGCGTCCGGGTGTCCGGGTGTCCGGGTGTCCGGGTGTCCGGGTGTCCGGGTGTCCGGGTGTCCGGGTGTCCGGGCGTCCGGGCGTCCGGGTGTCCGGGTGTCCGGGTGTCCGGGCGTCCGGGTGTCCGGGAGTCCGGGCGTCCGGGCGTCCGGGTGTTTCAGGGTGTCCGAGGTGCCGGGAGCACGGCACTTTCCGGGTGCCCGGGTGCCCGGGCGTCCGGGTGCACGGGTGTCGGGCGTCCGGGTGTCCGGGTGTCCGGGCGTCTGGGCTTCCGGGTGTCCGGGTACTCTGGGCGTCCGGGTGTCCGGGTGTCCGGGTGTCCGGGTGCCCGGGTGTCGTGGTGCCCAGGCGTCCGGGTGTCCGGGTGTCCGGGTGTCCGGGCGTCAGGTGTCCGGGTGTCCGGGTGTCCGGGTGTCCGGGTGCCCGGGTGTCCGGGTGCCCGGGTGTCCAGGTGTCCGGGTGCTGGGGTGCTGGGGTGCCCGGGTGTCCGGGTGTCCGGGTGTCCGGGTGTCTTGGTGTCCGGTGGGTGTCCGCCGGGTGTCCGGGTGCCCGGGTGTCCTGGGCGTCAGGGCGTCCGGGCGTCCAGGCGTCCGGGTGCCCAGGTGCCCGGGTGTCTGGGTGCCCGGGTGTCCGGGTGTCCGGGTGTCCGGGTGTCCGGATGTCCGGGTGTCCGGGTGCCCGGGTGCCCGGGTGACCGGGTGTCCGGGTGTCCGGGTGTCCGGGGTGTGCGGGGTGTCCGGGTGTCCGGGTGTCCGGGTGTCCGGGTGCCGGGGTGCCCGGGTGCCCGGGTGTCCGGGTGTCCGGGTGTCCGGGTGTCCGGGTGTCTGGCGGGTGTCCGGGTGTCCGGGTGCCCGGGTGTCCGGGTGTCCGGGCGTCTGGGCGTCCGGGCGTCCAGGCGTCCGGGTGCCCAGGTGCCCGGGTGTCTGGGTGCCCGGGTGTCCGGGTGTCCGGGTGTCCGGGTGTCCGGGTGCCCGGGCGTCCGGGTGCAATGCCCGGGTGCCCGGGTGGCCGGGTGTCCGGGTGTCCGGGTGTCCGGGTGTGCGGGTGTCCGGGTGTCCGGGCGTCCGGGTGTCCGGGTGCCCGCGGGTGTCCGGGTGCCCGGGTGTCCGGGTGTCCGGGTGCCCGGGTGTCCATGTGTCCGGGTGCCCGGGCGTCCGGGCGTCCAGGCGTCCTGGTGCCGGGTGTCCGGGTGTCCGGGTGTCCGGGTGCCCCGGCTGTGCCCGGGTGTCCGGTGTGGGTGGGTGCCGGGTGGCCCCGGGTGGCCGGTGTCCGGGTGTCCGGGTGGTGGTGTCCGGCGGGTGTCCGGGTGTCCGGGTGCCCGGGTGTCCTGGTGTCCGGGCGTCAGGGCGTCCGGGCGTCCAGGCGTCCGGGTGCCCAGGTGCCCGGGTGTCTGGGTGCCCGGGTGTCCGGGCGTCGGGGAGTCCGGGTGTCCGGGTGCCAGTGCCCGGGTGTCCGGGTGCCCGGGTGCCCGGGTGCCCGGGTGTTTGGGTGTCCGGGTGTCCGGGTGTGCGGGTGTCCGGGTGTCCGGGCGTCCGGGTGTCCGGGTGCCTGGGTGTCCGGGTGCCCGGGTGTCCGGTGTCCGGGTGTCCGGGTGCCCCGGGTGTCCAAGTGTCCGGGTGTCCGGGCGTCCGGGTGCATGTCCGGGTGCCCGGGTGTCCGGGCGTCCGGGTGCACGGGTGTCCGGGTGCCCGGGTGCCCGGGTGCCTGGGTGTCCGGGTGCCCGGGTGTCTTGGGTGTCCGGGTGCCCGGGTGTCCGGGTGTCCGGGTGCCCAGGTGCCTGGGTGTCCGGGTGCCCGGATGTCCGGGTGTCCGGGTGTCCCGGTGCTCGGGTGTCCATGTGTCCGGGTGTCCAGGTGTCCGGGTGCCCGGGTGTCCGGGTGCCCGGGTGTCCGGGTGCCTGGGTGTCCAGGCGTCCGGGTGTCCGGGTGTCCGGGTGCCCGGGTGCCCGGGCGTCTGGGTGTCCGGGCGCCCTGTTGCGAGGGCGTTCAGGCTCCCTGATGCCCCAATGCGAAAGTGCATGTAGGCCCGGTTACAAAAAATGAATATAGAACACCAGAGAAAAGAAACAATCATACTTGTTGTTGCTATGGGGCTATAAGGTTATTGAGCTATGGGGTTGTATCGCAACATGGAAACATGGCTAATTATAGGGATATAGGGTTATTGGGCCATCGGGCTATAGGGATATTTGGCTATAGGGCTATAAGGTCTATAAAGCTATAGGGCTGTAAGGCCATAGGGCTAACGGGCTGTAGGTCTATGCGGGTATAGGGCCATAGGGTTCTATGGCTAAATGGCTATAGCGCTATTTGCATATGGGGCTATAGGACTCTAGCGCTATATGGCTAAAAGGTTATAGGGCTATCGAGCTATAGGGCTATGGGGCTGTAGGGCTAGGGCTATAGGGCTATAGGGCTGTAGGACTATGGGGCTATAGGGCTATAGGGCTATATGGTATAGGGCTATAGGGCTATACGGCTATAGGGCTATGGAGCTATAGGGCTAATGGGCTGTAGGGCTGTAGGGCTATAGGGCTGTAGAGGTATAGGGCTATGGGGCTCTAGGGATATAGGGCTATGGGGCAACAGGGCTGGCGGGCTATAGGGCTATAGGGCTACATAACTATAGGGCTATAGGGCTAGAGGGCTATAGGGCTACAGGGCTATAGGGCTATAGGGCTATACGGGCAAAGGGCTGTAGGGCTACAGGGCTATCGGGCTATAGGGCTATAAGCCTTTATGGGCTATTGTGCTATATGGCTATAGGGATATCGTGCTATATGGCTGTAGGGCTATAAAGCTATAGGGCTATAAGGCTTGAGGGCTTTTGGACTATAGGGCGATAGGGCTATAGGGCTAGAAGGCTATAATTGGCTATTTGGTTATTGGGCTTATGGGCAAATTGGCCTAATAAGACCACTTGGGCTAATTGGATTGATGGGGCTATATGGCTATGGGGCTATAGGGCACCCCCGGGCATCTGGGCCCGGCCACCGAAATCGGCGGCCCGGTTCACCTAACCATAGGAATCCGCTAGGACCCCTGCGGAGGCAAGCTCTGGTTGCGGAATATGTATACACGTATGAACGTAAACATGTGTATGTATGTATATATAGGTACACGTAGAGATACAATGCAAGCCAAGACCAGGACGCTATGCTAGGCCACGACCGGGACAAATTCTGGAAAGATTGAGAGGATGTCGTCTCAGGCGAATGTGGCTGGGCCACCAGGGGGCAGGACATCATCGAGGTCAGAGTTGTGAGGGTGTCTCTGGCGAACATGGCTAAACCACCTCAGCTCAGGGCGTCTTGGAACCCAGAGTTGCGAGGATGTCTCATGAAGGAGTGGCCCGACCACCTGCTGAGGGCTTCTCGGAACCCAGAGTTGCGAGGGTCTCAAGCGAGAGAGGCCGAACCACCATGGAACAGGGCATATCCGAGATCAGAGTTGCAAGGATGTCTCAGGCGACACTGGACGGACCACCTAAACTCAGGGCATCTCGGAACCGAGACTTGCGAGGATGTCTCAGGCGAAAGTGGCCGGACCTCCATGGGGCAGGACATCATGGAGGTCAGTGTTGTGAGGATGTCTCTGGCGAAAACAGTTAAACCAGCTCAGCCCAGGGCGTCTCAAAACCCAAAGTTGCGAGGATGTTTCAAACGAAAGTGGCCAGGCCACCATGGGGCAGGGCGTCTTCAAGGTCAGAGTTGCGACGATGTCTGAGGCGACAGTGGCCTGACCATCTGCTCAGGGCATCTCGGAATCCAGAGTTGCGAGGG